AACATTGTCCCACGCGGTCTGGAATGCCGCATACTTCGGTGACAGGCTCCCGAGCACTTTTGCGATTATTGTCAGTTCCGACACTTGCTCTCCGATATCGAGCAACTGCGCTGCCATATTTTGTATTGTCGACACGTGTTTCAATATCGAGTCTCCCGGAGACATTCGATACTCGTACAGTCTCGTCATAAGCAACAATTTGTTTGACGCCGACTTTTGTTCATACACACCAGACAATTTCTTCCACATCTCTCTCGCCGTCGAGCACATCAGCAGCGGCTGCAGCTGGTCGTATTCCATCGCCGAGGAGATTAGAAACATCGCGCGCGCGTTGTCCGACAGCCACGCTTTCTTCGCTGCATCCTGACCTTCTCCTACCGGCATCGTTCTCGACCCGTCGACCACATCGTATATATTGTTCGCAATGAATAACATTTTCACCTGGAATTTCCATCCCTGATAGTTCTCGCCGTTGAACTTCGTCACATTTCGCGCTGAGAGTGCGTCAGACATTTCGAGTTACGTCGCGCTCGCGATCACGCACCGATTTCACAGAGAGCACGTGCTAAGATGGCTTCCGATTCGCGACCCCGTGTCCCGCTCTTCACGCTTCTTGACGAAAGAACCGCTCAACCTTCCTCACACGTAGCGTTCAGTTGGGGCATGCTGGGCCCATAACCTGTTGCACTTGATTATTATAATAATTGAGTGTGAGGAAGGGACACAAGATATCGATGAAAGAAAGTTTCGACACCGTTTTTCTTTGCTATAACTTTTCTCTATTGCGAACAACGTCCGACCGATACAAGGATTGACGTGGTACTGACTACCCGTCCTAGCTATGATTGCGCGCCCTCTCGCATGGGAACGCATGAACAGAGAGAGATGGCGAACACGCGAAAAACAACCTTAACATAATTTCTGTGCAAATGTGATAATGTCACATTGACGCAATCGATAAGAAATTAAGGGATTACACTAAAGTTCATCATTCGAAATAAGTAATATGCCACAAGTACGAAGTATACCGTGTTATTACTAGGAACCTATTTTCGTCAAAGGAATGCTTGCTCTCTGTCCACACTGCGGCTACAGTTCACTACCCTTGAACCGATGTGAAAGCATAGAACTTATAAACATGGAAGGGGAATAGCATATACTCTCCGTGAGCTGAAACTGAGTCCAACATCTGTATGACTTTGGTCCGTTATGCGCATGCGTTATTGTAATCTCGTTTTGGCCGCGCATGCGTATTTCGAGGAAAAGTCATAGAACGAGACAGAATTCTAGTTTCTTCTGTCTCACTTCTTGGCTTCACTTGTGCCGATCCGTTTCCCCTTCCATGTTTATAAGTTCTATGTGTGAAAGATGTAAAACAAAATTAAATATTGAGGAAGTCAAGCCAATACCCATACCAGAGGGGAAGGAGATTGGGATGTCTGTCGATGTAAGGATTATGACTGCAATGCCAGAAGACCGATAAATTTATTGATACAATGTTATAATGATTACCTGTCACAGTGACTATCTGTTATAATGATCGATTGTCTGACTGATGAATGGCTAACAGATTTAGTTTACTTAAGGTTAAGAATTTAGTCTAAGGGAACTATTAGCATAGCATTTTTTGATATAGTAAATTTAGAACGCTCTTATATTTCAGGACATGGTCATTAAGAAGTATTTTATTTAGAAAGATTTAAACACGTTAATTGTAAAATTAAGACATTTTATATTACTGCCATGTCATTACAGGTCAAGTTGAAAGCAGTTTATAATCATCTTAATGTATCATACAGTAATATTTTTTGTTGGCAAGTTTCTTTGTCATTATATCCCATGTTAATTTGTAGATATACATTACGATTGTATATCTTTATAGATGTTCTATAAGAAGAACAACGAACGAAATACTATGAAATTGGAGAAAACAGAACGAGACGGTCCTACATGCAAGCGGCCCAGAGCAAAGGGTATACCAGCTTCAAAACCAAAGCCTATTCACAAAGAACCAGGTATGTATAATATATTTTGTGCAAGACATATGTATATGTATAACATGTGTATTAATGATTATTTAAGTTTAATCAATTTCCAGAATGTTTGACAATATCGTCTGACGAAGAGGAAGAAGGCAGGACTAAACAAAGTAGGAAGCGTTAATAGTAACGCAGTAGTAGGCAATGCAACTAACGCTTTTAACGAAGAAGTGGACACAATTCTGGATAAAGAACCAATAATTACAAATTCTAGTGCATGTGACATGTTTGGAATGGATAATGAAGAAAATAGTAAAGGTTTATATTTTATAAGAAATATATTTTATAAGAAATGATTGTCAATTAAACATGTCGGCTAATAATATAATGATGGGATAATGTCGGATTTTAGAGATATATGAAAATCAGAACTTTTTAGATATTGGGCAACAACCACAAACTGCTCTAGAGTGTCGGACGGTCAGAATAGGTTCTTACAAATATATTCCTCGGGATAAAGTAGTGATTTCCCATACTGGTGTAAGATTTAGCGTACCTTTGTTAGAAGATAGTAAGTTGATTTTATCTGTAGACCAGCAATGTCTTTCACAGGTGAACAGTTTTAAAAACTTTTTGAATATTTTGCAGATAATAGTTTTGTTATTTTGGATGTGAAATATAGAGATATAATTAAACTTTTAATTCATTTTGGAAAGACAATGCCAGTAGTATTCTTTTATACGTCTACAAGTACAGGAGCTATGATACGCGAATTATTAGGAATGCAAGATTCAAAAGGGCCATATTATGACCCTGCTGGAAAAGATTGGTTATGCATATGCACTCTGTATTTTAAATAATTTTTGTAGTACCTATAATTTCTCTTCCATCATTCCTCTAAATTTTGTGTTGCTTTTTCATACTGTTTTGTTAAATACTATGACAAACTCCCTCTTTCCGTCCGTTCTTCCGCCTTAGCCTTTATCGTTTCTCCGCCTTTCTCTCTCTGCTAGCGTACGCGTACTCTATGACTTTTCTAAATACATTTATACTCTGCGTGCGTTTCTACCGTATTGCTTACATCACTCATGTATATCTATATATATTTATACTTGCGTACATTTAATTATTATCAAAATTAAGATTTGTTGACCGTATCTGGCAATTTTAATGATTTAAGCATCTCTACGTTTCAACTAATTTTAATGATTTAAGCATCTCTACGTTTCGACCATGGGTTTTGGTCCTTTTCAAACGATCTGTTTATATAAATTAGAGATTAACAATATTAATATATAAATAAATTAAATAAATCAGAGATATTATGTTCACTGTTACAATAATTTACAATTGTTGGAGACATTACCTGAGGTGGTCGTATACATAGGCTCGCGTGTGTTTTGGTGATGTAAAATGGATTTTCATGTACGATCATATACTAAAACTGAGAGAGTTAGAAAGAGAGAAAGGTGCAGAAATTTGGATTGTAATTAATGTAAAGACTTACATGCTTTGAAAATTTAGTGTCAGTGTTTGATACACGAGAACATTGCTCGATAGATGACGGGGCATGACTGACGAAAATATTGGTCGGTTGGTATAATTAAGAACAAGTGAAAGTCATGAGAATAAGTTAAAATAAAAAATAAACAGTGGTGTCCAGATTTAAATTAAGTCAATTATACGGTCATAAATAGCGTTAAGATTTTCTGTGTGTTTTTGTAAATTATTAGTGTCATTAATCAGTCATGCCCCGTCATCTATTGAGCAATGTTCTCGTGTATCAAACACTGACACTAAATTTTCAAAGCATGTAAGTCTTTACATTAATTACAATCCAAATTTCTGCACCTTTCTCTCTTTCTAACTCTCTCAGTTTTAGTATATGATCATACATGAAAATCCATTTTACATCACAAAGCACACGCGAGTGTATACGACCACCTCAGGTTATAATGTCTCCAACAATTGTAAATTATTGTAACAGTGAATATAATATCTGATTTATTTAATTTATTTATATATTAATATTGTTAATCTTTAATTTATATAGTCAGATCGCTTGAAAAGGACCAAAACCTATGGTCGAAACGTAGAGATACTTAAATTATTAAAATTGCCAGATTCGGTCAGCAAATATTAATGTTGTTAATTATTGCTGGCGACCCTGAAGAATATAATTTATGTTTTAGTTTAATTATTACATCTCTGTTTTATTTACTGTTCTGGGGAGCGATCACGTACACAATCGAATTCGATCGGTCGACTTCTCATACGTTTCTGCTCTACAGGTTTCATGGTTCATGCTTATTTATTATAGGATAGTTTCCCTCAGACCATAGATTGATCATGTACGAAGAGTGGTATCGGATGGCATATTCCTTCTCGATTCGAATTCGATCGGTGCACGTGATCGCTCCCCTGGTTCGATTTGTCTTATACAATTTTTTCTTACCTTTTTCTAAACTGCTGGGCTTTGCAACAACAGTTTTTGTTGGTGCCCTACCTTTTGCATTACGATTTTTATATTCCTTCTTTATAACCGTCTTATTTTGCAATAAATTAAATTAAAATAAAATTAATGTCATTATGTAGGTGATATATCCCAGGTCGCCGATGATGAGGTCCAGACCATAGACATCTATAGACGGAGCATTAGCTACAACTCTGGACAAGAGGAGTTCTGATATTCGGGGCAGTGTTGCGATTGGGGCTAGGCTGTTTTGCGCACACGCGGCGATACGACGTCAGTAGAGTGCTTAATGCTAGTGGAAAGGGGCACCGTTAGCACCCTGTTATCAAAAGTTTAAAAAGTATAAAAATTGTTGGTAAATATGCAGAAAAGGTCACACCTCACCGATTTCCTCGCCACTTAGATATGTAGGGGAGAGTCTTCTGAGTAATTCCCCGCAAGAATCAAGTGGGGGACGGCATTGGTTTAGGAGATATAACAAATTGAAAACTAAAAATTTTAATACTTTTTCTTAGTAATTTTTATTAAAATGCCTGTGTAGAAGTACATGCGTGGAGACAGTGTGTTCCGCCCCCCCTTCGGGGGGGCTCCACTTCGTTAAAAATAATTCCCTACCCACCCTATGTCAGAGGTGTGAAGTGGATCTCGCATGCTCGGTCAGTCTGCGCCGCGAGAAGAAGCGTGCGCGCGCGCGCGCGTGTGTGTGTGTGTCAATCCGTACCGACTGTTGCGGGAGGGGGCAGGTGTGACCTTGTAAATGAAAATGGCAGTTTGTTTATGATTTTAAAGGTAGCTACACAGGCATTTTAATAAAAATTACTAAGAAAAAGTATTACAATTTTTGGTTTTCAATTTGTTATATCTCCTAAACCAATCCCGTCCCCCACTTGATTCTTGCGGGGAATTACTCAGAAAACTCTCCCCTACAACATATCTAAGTGGCGAGGAAATCGGTGAGGTGTGACCTTTTCTGCATATTTACCTTAATTATTTTACAAATATAAAGTATAATAGAAAGGATAATGAGGAAAAAGGGAAAAGGAATGTTTGAAATAAAACATTTTTATAAATCAAAATTAAAATATTTTATTTGGCAGAGATCTCAAAGAATACCAACATTTGTTGTAAAGGCAAGGGGAAAAACTCTTACCAGTATTCGTACAAAACAAAAATATACAAGTTATTATTTAATACGAATGACATTAAATATGAAAAGTAAAAATATAATATTTTAAAATAACAAGAATTATAATATACAGAGTATTTCAAAATAAAAAAATTAAAATAAAATAACTTTTTGAAAGCCATTTCTTATAAAAAAACTTAAATTAATAAAAATAACATTATATATAATACCATTATTATTGGCTTTCCTTAGGTATCTATTACATATCACATGTATTTATTACGTTATATCACATTAGATATCACAGCATGGATGACACTTGAAATATAAAATCACATGTTAATAAAATAAAATAAGAGAAACAATACTTATATATAACTAACATATACATTAATAAAGGATAGATAAAGGCTAGATGTGTCATACAAAACAACAAAAATTAAAATACAAAAATATTATTTAAAAATCAATGAAATTAAAAAAGCATTAAAGACCGTCACATGAATTGCTTGCGTTACCATATAAATTTTGTGGATTGTGTAATTTGAAATGCTCGGAATCGATCTCAAAATTAGTGCAGTTAATGCCTTCCGCTTGGAAACTCGACCGTAAAGGCCTTCACACATAAAATTCCGTAAGGACGTAAAACGTAAGCGTAAGAAAATCAACAGGTTGGATTTGCTACTGCTTGCGTCATTGCCTTACGTTCTCGACTGTGATTGGTCGATTTTCTTATGCTTACGTTTTACGTCCTTACGGAACTTTATGTGTGAAGGCCTTAACCGTCCGAGTGACGGGTGCCCTAGTGGTGTCCACGCGCAGTGGCATGCGTACGTCACTGTAACCCCCATCCACGCGCATGCGCAGTCGTGCGATTGCCATGCCAGCCTAGCCCCAATCGCAACACTGCTCTCTCGAAGCGCTTTCGAAGCGCGCAATAACTAATTCGGAACGACTTTCTATGTACTCTACGCGCTTTATGCGTAAATCGGAACGCACCCTATATAAAAGGGAAAAAAAGAAGTGAGGTTACGTCTGATATCATTCTGGCGCATAAGTAATACCAAAGTGGGAGGAAGAAAATACGCAAGTACGGCACACATTTTTTTTCTTTTTACTCAACAATGAACAACGGTAATATTCACAGTATCATTGAGGTAATAAATATAATATTTTGAATCAACATTAGGTGACGCAGTTTCGATCACCACCATGGATTAAAAATACCAAGCATGGATACTATACTACTTTGTGTACTCTTTGTGGTATATTTTGTTCCAATTGAGTCGTGCACATCGCGACACTTTGGCCGGTATTCATAGTCCGTTCTTATATTTAAGATCACCTTAAGTATGCTCTTAATGTGTTTTCAACCAATCGCAAAGCTGTATTGGCGTCTTAAGACAATACTTAAGATGATTTTGAAATAAGAATCGACTATGAATACCGGCCTTTGTGTCTTCTTGTGTACGTTTGTGTTAAAAAGTGTAAAATAATTGGAATGCACCCACTATAAGGGTACTATTACATTTGTCGTACGACAAA